TGGGACAGGGACACTGGGACAGCTCGATGGGGATACCGGGGTGGGACAGGGACACTGGGACAGTTCAGCAGCGACACCTAGGTGTGATGGGAACATGGGGACAGTTTGGTCAGCAAGGTGTGACAGGAACACTGGGCTGGGATAGGGACGCTGGGACAGCTCAATGGGGATATGGGGTTGTAATGGGGATGCTGGGGTCTGACAGGAACATCAGGATAGCTTGATGGGGACATCAGGATGTGACTGGGATACCAGGACAGCTTGGTGGGGACACTGGGGTGTGATAGGAATGGGGATGCTGGGGTGGGACGGGGACAGCAGGACAGTTCAATGGAGACACCAATGTGTGACCAGGACACTGAGGTATCACAAGGGCAGAGACACTGGGATGTCATAGTGACAGGAGCACCAGGACAGCTCTATGGGCACACCAGGGACACAGGGACACCTTGATGGAACACTGGGATTTGGCAGGGACAAGGACAGTAACACCTGGCTGGGACAGGAGCACTGGGACAGCTCCACAGAGACACGAGAATGTGGCAGGGTCAGGGATACAGGAGGGCCCATGCGGTCAGCAGGCAGTGATGGGGTCAGTGTAACCCCCATGCTGAGCTGTGAGTGACAGACACAGAGACACCCCATGGGGATGCTGAGCAGTGAGGGCTCACAGTGCCACCCCACAATGGACTGTGGGTGACTGGGACCCCCCTTGAGGACACTGAACTGCAGTGGGTCGCAGTGCCACCCCACAATGGACTGTGGGTGACAACAGCTCTGGGACACCCCAATCATGACAAGGACAGGTCACAGTGTCACCCCCGTGGCTGAGCTGTGGGTAACAGTGACACTGTGACACCCCGCTGGTGATACTAAACTGTCACAGGTCATAGTGTCACCTCCAGAATGAAACGTAGGTGACAGTGACACTGGGACACCCCAGTGGTGACACAGAGCTCTGATGGTGACCTGTTACCAGTGCCACCACCACAACGAGCTCTGGGTGGCAACATGGGGACACCCCGAGGTGACGCTGAGCTGGGACAGGTCACGGTGCCACCCTCATGACAATGTGGCGGGGACACTGGGACACAGCCCCCAGATAACACCTGGGCTGTGACAGGTCACAGTGCCACCTCCCCCAAGGCACAGCAGAGGGGATAAGGGGACACCAGGCTAGGTGTGACCAACCCCACGTGGTGTCATGGGGGTGGGGGTGAATTAATTCCCTAATTAATTTCTAATAAACCTGCCCAATAATGGTGTTTGTGAAGTCCTCTTCCTCTCCCTGCCCCCCAAACCTGGGTGTGGGGGACACTGAAACTCCTCCAGAGCAACCCCAGTTCAAACCAGTGACTCCCAGTCCAGCCATGTTTCCATTGCAACCATAGCACTGGATTGACCCCAGGCTGAACCCCTCAGTGCCCCCAGTATCCTGCAGTTCCCCCAGTCCTCCCAGTAAGCCCCCCATCCTCCCAAATTTCCCAGTTCCCAGTATGCATTCTTCACAATCCCCCCCAGTTCTCCAAGTCCCCCCCAGTCCCCCCAGTTCCCCCAGTCCCTCCAGTTCCCCCATCCGCCAGGGGGCGCCCTTGCGCCTCCCGCCCCGATTCCGCAGCATCACGTGACCTTGACGCACACACCCTCGCTTTCACCGGTGGGCTCCGCCTTCCGCGCACTTCGTCCTCCAATTGGCTGAGGGAGCCATCAGTCGTGGCGCAGCGGGCGGCGATTGGCCCGCGTGGCCCAGTGGGCGGGCACAGGGAGGCGGAAAGGAGCGGAGCCCGGCTGTGCGCGCGGCCCATGGCGGGGGCGGGACCCCCGGTGAGGGGCGCGGGGCCGGGGGGCTCGGGGGGCCTTGGGCAGTCCTGGGGAGCCGGGGAGACCCTGCTTTGGGCAATACGGGACGGGCTTGGCGGTCCTGCGGGGAGGCGGGGCGGCCTGGGGGATAACGGTGGGTGCGGGGGCAATGAGGGCGTTGGGGGCTGCTGGGAAAGGGGGACCCCCGGCATGGGGGCGGGCGGGGGCGGTCAGGGCCGGGGACTCGGGGCCAGGTTCGGGCTGGCAGATGTGATCTGGGTGTGCCACGTGTGGGTCTGGGTGGCCAGGTGTGCTGAGGAGCAGTTCTGGGGGATCCCAAGTGTGATTTGGGTGTGCCAGATGTGGATTTGGGGTCTCAGGTGAGTGGGAGGACAGTTTTGTGGGGGGTGTCCGGTGGATTTTTTGGGCTCAGGTGTGTTTTAGGGATCCAGGTGTGTTTGGATGACCTGCTGAGTTTTGGGGGTACGTGTGTTTTAGGGAGTCAGGTGTGTTTAGGGGGCTCAGGTGTGTTTTGGAGCACCAGGTGTGTTTTGGGGATTGATTTTGAGAGTTCAGGTGTATTTTAGGGAGTCAGGGATGTTTAAGGGTTTCAGGTATGATTTGGAGATTGGATGTGTTCTGGGGGAAGTTTTGTGGGTTCAGGTGTGTTTGGGGCGGCGATTTTGGGGTGCCAGGTGTGTGTTGGGGGGCCGATTTTGGGGTGCCAGGTGTATGTTTCAGGGTGCGATTTTGGGGTGGCAGGTGTGTGTTTGGGGGGGCGATTTTGGGGTGTCGGGTGTGTGTTTATGGTGTCAGGTGTGTGTTTCGGGGGGCGATTTGGGGGGATCCGTGGTTTTGGGGGTTCATGCCTGATTCGGGGTGTCAATTTCGGATGTGTCGGTCCCGCCCGTCCTTTCGGGGGTCCCAGCGTTGACTCCCCGCAGGAGCCCCCCCGCCATGGATGACCTGAACCTGCACTTCAGGTTCCTCAACTGGCGCCGGCGGATCCGGGAGATCCGGGAGGTGCGGGAGGGCCGGGACCGGGACCGGGACCGAGACCGAGAGCAGGGCCTGCGCTGCCAGGAACGCGCCCGGCACATCCTGGTGGACGGGGACACCCTGAGGTACCCGGGGAGCCCGCAGAAGGGGCTGGGGGGCTCCGGGGGGTGCGGGAGGGGGCTGGGGGCACCCACAAGAAGGGGCTGAGGGGGCCCGAGGTGGGTGGGGGGATGCACCCAGGGGGGCGGGAGGGGGCTGGGGGCACCCACAGCTCTGGGAGGGGTCGCAGGGTACCCGGGGGTTCAGGGGCTGTCTCGGTCCCCGGCGCTGTCCCAGCCCCCCGTGTCTCCCGCAGCTACCGCGGCCCCTCGGGCGAGGTCGGCTGCTACGTGGCTTCGCGGCCGCTGACCCGCGACAGCAACTACTTCGAGGTGAGCCGGGGGTCCGGGGGGCGCGGGCTGCCGCGGGGCGCGCAGCGCTGACCCGCCGGGCCCTGCCCAGGTGTCCATCGTGGACAGCGGCGTCCGCGGCACCATCGCCGTGGGGCTGGTCCCGCACTGCCACAGCCTCGAGCACCCCCCGGGATGGGGGCCCGGCTCCGTCGCCTACCACGCCGATGATGGAAAGTGAGTGTCGCGATAGTGGGGGCAGGGATTGTTCCCGTAGTGGGCGATGTCGGGATAGCTGCAGGAGAAGTGTTGGGATGATTGCGGGTGTTGGGATATTAAGGGATTTCATGACGTTAGGAGATGGCGGGATGTGATGCGAAGGATGAGATGCTTTGGGATACCTAGGGTGTCGGGATAGCAGGGGGATATTGGGATATTGGGGAGTGTCAGGACCTTGGGGGTGTCAGATACTGGGGGCAGCCACAGAGGCAGCAGGACTGGTAGGTATTGTGAGGCACTGGGGCCTGTCACGATATTTGGGGTCTGCTCCAGGTTTGAGGTCCCCCATTCTGACACACCCCCCCCCCTTCTGAACCCCCCATTTTCGGGGTCCCCCCCGATTTTGGCGTGCCCCAGGCTCTACAGTGGCCGGGCCAAGGGGCGCCAGTTTGGCTCCAAGTGCAGCTCTGGGGACCGGATCGGCTGTGGCGTCGAGAGGGGCTCGTTTGGAGCCCCCCCAGCCCAGGTTTTCTTCACCAAGAACGGCCAGAGGGTGAGGTGATCCCTACCCTGCCCTAGAGCACCCTCCAAACTCACCGGGGCACCCCCAAACCTTCCAGGATTGCCTAAACAGGGATCCTTCTACCCCTCCCCCATCTGTTCTTCACAAAGAACGGACAGAGGAGGGGGGGACCCCCAAATCTTCTGAAACCCCAAAGCCTCCAGAGGCACCCTACATCCTACTTTGGTGTTTCCCTAAATCCCAGGTGTAGGGCCTGGGGGTGCCCTTGTCCCTGAGCCCCCCTGACTCCCTCAATTGCAGGTGGGGGGTCTGGGGGTGCCGCTGTCACCCCCGGGGCTGTTCCCAGCCGTGGGGCTGCACTCGCTGGGCGAGGAGGTTCGGCTGCACCTGCCCCCCCCCGGGCCCCCCGAGGATGAAGGGGGGGCGATGCTGGTGGACAGCCTGGAGGAGGAGTGGGGGAGGCTCCACGACGTGCGGCTCTACGGCTCCGTGAGCACCCGGAAACCCACGGGGTTTGGGGGCCTCAGGGAGGAGGAAATGGGGGGGCTGGAGCCCTCCCAGGACTGGGGATGGCCCAGGGAAGTGGCAAGGGAGCTCAGAATGCATGTGGGGTTGGAAGAGGTTGGACTCCCTCCCAGGGGTGGGAGGTCAGAAATTGAGGTTATGGGGTGAGAAAAATTGGGCTCTGGGAATTTGGGTAAGGATGTTTTTGGGGATGGGACAAGAGGGGTCCCCATCCTGTGGAGGGTGAAAATGGGAGATGGGGTAAGGGGGTCCCAGCAGCAACATTGGGAGTCTGGGGGTTCTTGGGTGCCCCTTAAATCCCATGTGCGTGGCCCCCCGACTATTTATGACTCCCCTCCATAACCCCTGTGATCTCCCAAATCCCCCTGGGACCCCTGAAACCCTCCCAGGTGCTGTTTTTAGGTGGGGAAGGGGATGAATTTCACAGATCTGGGGCTGGTCCAGGTTGGGGAGTGCCCCCTTTCCCCCCTCTCTGAGCCTGCCCCGTGCTGTCCCAGGTGTTGGAGTATGTGGGGAAGGGGAAGAGCATCGTGGATGTGGGGCTGGCCCAGGCCCGGCGGCCGCTCAGCCCCCGCAGCCACTACTTCGAGCTGGAGATCCTGGACCCGGGTGAGAAGTGCTACATCGCCCTGGGCGTGGCCAGGAAGGTGCGCAGGGGGCTCGGAATTGGGGTACGGGGGGGCTGGGGGTGTGCAGACGCCAGTGGAGCTGGGGGGGCAGGGAAGTCCTGGGATGTGGGTCAAAAGTGGGGGTCCAGGGGTTACAAAGGGAGTAAAGGTTGGCTGGAGCCTCCTCCAGGGTTGGGAGTGGGCAAGGAAGGAGGGGAGAAGGGTCAGATTTGAGTTATTGGGGGGGGGGGCTGGACCTCTCCACCAGGCTGGAGCTGGGCTGAAAGTTGTGGGGGGTGTCAAAAATGAGGGTTTAGGGGGGAAAATTTGGTCTATGAGTTTGAGGGGCTGGGCCCCCGACATTACCCACACCTCCCTCCCTCCCCTGTGTCCCCCCCCTCAGGATTACCCCAAAAATCGTCACCCTGGCTGGAGCAGGGGCTCGGTGGCCTATCATGCAGGTGAGCACCCCAAAAGTAGGGGGGGGGTCCCCAAAATGGGTGGGACCCCACCCCCCAAATGCCAGAATCCCCCAAACACAGGGCCCCAGTAGTGGGACCTTCTGCTACTCTTTCTCCCCCTGAAAACCCCTTTTCCATTTTTCCTCCCTATTTTGGGTTGCACCCCTATAATGAGGGTCTGGATGACCTCAGGGACCCACCTAATTTGTGGGGTCCCCATGGCCCCTCCATCCTCTCTTCTCCCTTTCTCCATCTTTTTCCTCTTCATCCTCTTCCTTTCCCAACCCAGTTTCCTCCCGTTTTTTGAGGTGCACTCCCGTGTGGAAGTCTGAGGGGTGGTTTCTAGCCTCTCAGGGGCCAGGGAGTCCCTATGGCTTCTTCCTCTCCCTTTTCTACCGTTTTATCTCTTTTCTCCCCTTTTCCCTTTCGCCCCCTTCAGCCTCTTCTTCTTTCCACCTCTCTCAAGCCTATTTCTCTCCTTTGTTTGGGATGCACCCCCATGGGAGGGGTCCTCCTCATGATGGGATTTGGGGATCCCTCTGTGCACCCCCCGTCCCCAGCTGTCTCCTTCTCCCTTTCCCCCTCCTCTTCTTTCTCCCCCTTTTTTTGGGGTGCACCCCCAGGGAGGATATCTTGAGGTTTCCCTCATGAACTAGGGGGGTCCCGCTAATTCGGGGTCTCCCCCCAGACGATGGAAAGCTGTTCCATGGCAGTGGGGTCGGGGATCCCTTTGGTCCCCGCTGCTACAAGGGAGACGTGATGGGCTGTGGGATCATGTTCCCTCGGGACTACGGCCGGGACAGCGAAGGTATGGCAGGGCTGAGGACCCCCAAAGCCTAGCTGGACTCTGGGGGGGATCCCTCACCCTTTTCCCCACCCTAGGTGACAGCGATGACACCTCAGAGCCCCCTGAGGTGAAGGTACACAACGTGATGTACCTGGAGGAGGAGGAGGAGGAAGAAGAAGAGGAGGAGGAAGAAGAGGATGGGGAGGACATGGAGCAGGAGGGCAGGAAGGTCGTGGTAAGAGTGGGGACACCCACCAAAAAAAATCAGTGCCCTAAAATACCCCCAACTCCCCCAAAACGTCCTCCTTCACCCCAAAAGTCTTTTTTGTCCATCATGGGAATCCTTTTAAATCAGTCTGGGGGCTCCAACACCCAGATTTTGGGGTGGTTGGGGGGGTGTCCTGCCCCCCTAATATTTTAGGGTGACCCCCCGTTTGTCTATGATCCTCACACACATTTGTGCCCCACCTCTGCACCCTCCATCACCCCAGAAATCCCCCTCCAACCCCCATTGGGTTCACTTCACAGTGACTTACCCTGGGGTCACTCCCTTTGTCCCCACTTTTAGAGATTGGGGTCTCCTCGCCCTCCCCTCATGTTTTGGGGTGACTTTGCTGTGTGTCCCTGAACCCCCTCCATGTGTTTGTACCCCTTCAAAACCTCCCCTCGCCCCAAAAATCCCTCCACATCCCCCTTTTGGCTCATCTTTCTTTGCCTTACTCCCCCCTTTACCCATGTGGTTTTTTTTGGAGGGGTGGGGTCTCCCCTGCCGCCCCCAGTCTAGGGGTGACCCCCTTGATTTGTGCCCCCTCAGGTGTTCTTCACGCGGAACGGGATGGTCGTGGGGCGCAGGGAGGTTGGGGTCCCCCCCGGGGGACTCTTCCCCACTGTGGGGATGCTCAGCACTGGCGAGAGGGTCAAGGTGGACCTGCACCCCCTGAGCGGATAAAAGGGGGCCCGCATGGGGCTCCCCAAGACCTGAAACCCTCTGGTGCTCCTGGAACCACCCCGGGCCCTCCCAGTGCACTTTAGGGTGTTTCCACAACAGTGGAGACCCCCCCAAGGTGGTTTTTAGGGGGGGCTTTTATGCCCCCCTCCATAATTTCACTCTTCTGGGGTGGTTCCCCTAATTGAATTCCCCCTCAAAAGTACCCCACTGTTGCCCCCCTAGATGGTTTTTGGGCTTCTCAGCCATGGCCTCCACCATGTTTTTGGGGGACCGATTCCTGCCCCATCCCTGTGTTTTTGGGGGACTCAATCCTGCCCCCACCAATCACCCCAATGACCCCCCCAGGTGGATTTGGTGGTCTCAGCTCAGCCCTTTCCACAATGGGTGACCCTTGTGCCCCCCCCAGAGCCCCCAAAATCACCCCCTTGACTCTTCCCAGCCCACTCAACCCCTCCCACTCCACTGACTGCCAGGGCCCCCCAAATCACACCTGTGCCCCCTCATCTCTTCCAGCGCTCCCCATTCCTGGGGGGTTCCAGGGGGCAGAATTAGGGGTTCCCCCCATCATGAATGTAACCAAACCCTTCTAATTCCATGACAGCCCCCAGAGTCCCCAGCTCTGTGCTGGGTCCTGGGCTGGTTTTGGGGTCCCCTTTGACATTTGCACATGGCGGGCGGGGGTCCCCATACCCTTCCCCCCCCCCCCCCCCGCACAAATAAACCCATTTCTTACACCAAAATAAATGTGGATTTATTTGGGTTCCTCCAGGATCCCCCAAATTGCAGGGGGCTGTTCCTATGCCTCTTTCTTTCTACCAGCCTCTCCTTCTTTACTTGAGGGGTCGTTGGGGGGGGTGTAGGAGGTTTTGGGGGGCTTTCAAGGGCGGTTGGAGGGTCTGGGGAGTATTTGGAGGGCTCTGGGTGGGGGTCTCAGGGGGAGTTTGGGAGTCCCCAGTAGAGCTTTGGTAATGAATGTGGTGGGAAGGACGATTATGGGGGTCCCCTTGTGCTCCCTCGAATCAGGGGTGTCTGGGGGGTTTCGGGGGTGTTGAGGACCTCGGTGATGAAGGTGATTGTGGTGGGGGGGTTGGTTGTGCATGTCCCCCTGTCTCCCCTTCAGCGCGTTTTGGGCATCCCCAGATGGCTTTGGAGGTGCCAGGGGATTCTGGGGGTCCCTCAGTGTCGTGTCCCCAGCAAGACCTTGGTGAAGAATGGGGAGAGTCCCACTGGATTTTGAGGGTGCCCCTGAACCCCCTCTGTTCCAGGGGGCTTTGGGGGTCCCCAGACGGTTTTGGGGTGCCAGGGGGTCCCCACTGTCTCTCAGTGCCGCGTCCCCAGCAGGACTTTGGTGACGAAGGTGACGATGGCTCCTGCCGGCTGCTCGGGGTCCAGCTCCGCGAACACGTGGCACGTGTTGCCCCCGCCCGGGGCCCCTGCCTGCTTCGCCACGAACCCGAAAATCCTGGGGGGGGCCGGCAGGGCAGAGGGGCGGGGCCAGCGTCAGATCTGTGCCCCCCCCCCACCTCCTTTCTGGGGGTCCCGTTCTGGGGGTCTCCCCACGTACCTGGCCACGGTCCCATCGGGGTTCGCCCACCTGGGGAGGGTTAGAAGGGTTGGGAGGCCTGGGAGGGTTTGGGAGGTTGGGGGTCCCCCCTGTGCCTCCCCCGTGCCCCCCTGACCTGCGCTCCTGGGGGTCGGTGCCGCAGTGGGTGACGCTGCTCACGGGGTAGTGCCGGCGGAAAAAGAGTCTGGGGGCACACGGGGGGCACGGGGTGAGGGGGGCAGGGCAGGGGGGCAGGTGCCGAGGGGTTGGGGGTGGGAGGTTGGGCTTGTTTTTGGGGGTGTTGGGGTTTGGGGGAACGGTGGTTTGGAGGATGAGGGGTTTAGTAGGATTGGTGGCTCAGGACAGGGTTTTTGGGGTGTTTGAGGTGGTGGTTTTTGGGGGATTGGGAGATTTGGGGAGGTCGGTGGTTTTGGGGGCTTCAGTAGTTTTGGGGGGTCAGTGTTTGAGGGGATCTCAGTTTGAAGGGGTCCAGGTGGGGGAGGTTGGGTGGTTTGGGGTGGGTGGGGGGTTAGAGGGGTCTGGGTTTGGGGGTCCCTCACTTGCGCTGCCGGTCCGTCAGGGTGATCCCCTGCACTGACACCTTGAAGTGCACGGGGCTGGGGGGGGGCCGGGGGGACCCCTCCGCACTCGGGGCCCCCTCCAGGAGGGACCCCACGGCCTTGGCCACGGCCTGGGGCCCGGTCAGGGCCTCGGTCCCCACTGAGCCCAGGAACAGCACCGAGCAGGCTGGGGAGCAACAGGGGGAGCTGCTTAAACCAGGACCAACCTCCCCAAAATGGGGCCCAAACCTCCCCAAAACCGGGACCAACCTCCCCAAAACCGGAAGCAGCAACCCCAAGACTGGGACCAACCCCCCCAAAACCAGGACCTGCTCCCTCAATCCTCCCAGTCTCAATGCCAACCCTGCATAGTGACCCAATTCCAGTGCCTGCACTGCCCCAGTAACCCTCCCATCCCAGTGCCCCCCACTTCAGGATCCTCAGTACCCCCCCAGTGCCCCCGTGTGCCCAGCCCCACCTGCCCCCTGCCTCAGGAGGGCTCCGGCCGTGCTGACGTTGGGGGGTCCTGGGGGGTCTGGGGGCTCCTCCTGCAGCTCTGGGGAGGAAGGCACAAGCTGGGGGGGCAGCTGGGTCCCCCCCCCCCCACCCCGTGCCCCACCAGGAACTGTCCCGGCAGGGGAAATTGAGGGGCTGGGGGAGTTTAGAAGGACTCTGGGGGTATTTGGGGGGCTGGAGGAGCCTCTGGGGGATCCCATCAGCTTTTTGGGGGGTTCCCACTGTTTGGAAGTGTCCCCACAATTCTGTGGGTTCCTATGGTTTTGGGAGTTCCTGTAGTTTTGGGGGAGGACCCATGATTTTGTGGTGTCCCAGCTGATGTTCAGGGGGGTCCACATGGAGGTTTTGGGGTGTCCCCGTGGTTTCTGAGGTGTTCCCTTGTGGATTTTGGGGGTTTCCCTGGGGAGTTTTAGGGGTTTGGGAGCTTTTGGAGAGTTGCCAGGGGGTTTGGGGGTGTCTCTGTGAGATTTTTAGGGTGTCCCATGGTTTTGGGTTTCTCCCAGGGGGTTTTGGTGTGTCCCAGGAAGGGGTTGGGGTGGGGTAACTGCACTTTGAGGGGGGTCCCTGTGGGGGTTTTGGGGTCATGCAGGAGTTGTGGGGTATCCACAGGGTTTTTGGGTGTTCCTGCAGTTTTTGGGGTGCCCACCTGCATGGGGGATGCGGAGGGTGCAAGGCAGTGAGATAGGGGTGATGGAGTGCTGCAGCACCAGAGCTGGGAGGCTCCCTGGGGAGAAGAGGAATCAGCCCACCCCAAAACCCCCCACTGACTGCCCAAAGCCCCCACAGATTCCCTCGGACCCCAACCCAAACTCGACCCCCCTGAGCCCCCCCGAGTTCCCCTTGAGACCCCACTGACCCCCACAGACCCTCCCAATCCCCCAGACCCCCCCCCCCCACTGTTCCCCCAGAGCCCCCCGCCCCTCTAACCAAAGTAAGGCTCCTCGGGGCACCCCCGGATTTTGACGCCCCGCGGGCCCGTCTCGATCAGGAAGTGCCGGACCAGCTGCTCCTGGGGGTCCCCTGGGGGGCCGGGGGGATCAGACACAGTCAGACCCCCGAGAGCCCCCCCCCAGCACCCCCCGACGCCCCAGTGTTTTCTCTGGGGCATTTGGGGGTGCCCATGGGGGGATCTGAGAGGGTTCAGGGGGTGTTGGGGGTGTCCAACCTCCCCTGGCAGACCCCCACCATGGACAGCCCCTCACGGCCCCCAAGTACTGCGGGGCGGGGGCGGGGGGTCTCTGGGTGGCTTTGGGGGCTGCTGGTGAGGAATTTGGGGTAATTTTCAGGGGTCCCTGGGGTGTTGGGAGCGTCAGAGCCCTGAGAGATGGCCAAGACCCCCCCGCCCGGCTCCCAAATATTCCCTAGGGCGGAGATGGATTGGGGGCGTGCCGGGGCGGTCTGTGGGGTTCGGGGGACTCGGGGGAGTCCATACCCACTCTGGCGGTGGCGCGGGGGGGCGGGACCCCCACCCTGAGCGCGAGCCCGAACGCCCCCGGGAAGCTGCTGCTGCGGCGGACGAGGAAGGAGCCGGGAGGGGCCGCCTTGAGCAGCGCCACGGCTGGGGAGACACGCGGGAGTCGCACGGGGGGGACCCCACTGAGCCCCCCATTCAACCCTCCAAGCTACCCACAGACCTCACCCATGACACCCCCCACAGATCTCCCCGACCCCCCGTTCTCCCCCGCAGATCCCAGAACTGAAATCCCCAGCCCCCCGTAGCACCCACAACTGACCACCCCCCCCCACCCACTGAGCCCCCAGGCCCCCCATGCTGTCCTGATCCCACTCAACCCCCCAGCCCCTCATACCCCCTAATAACCCACAAGACTCCCCAAGCGCCTCCCCTCCAACCCCCCGGGAGCTTCCGGCCCCCATGGCGCCCCACAGCCCCTCGGGGGTCCCCAGCGCCGACCCCCCGTACCTTCCTCCCGGGACAGCCCCGGTTTGTACCAGAACTTGGTCGTGTCCTGCGCGAAGGTGCCCCCGGGGGGGGTCCCGCCCGGCGCCGCCCCCGCCGGGGGGTGTCCCTGGGCCCCCCCCGGGCTGCGCTGGGGTGAGGAGGGGTCCCGGGGCCCCCCCGGGGCCGGGGGATGCCGCTTCTCGGGCAGGGGCGGCTGCGGGGGCGGGGGCGAGCCGGGCGTTCCGCTGCCGGGGGAGGGGGCCCGCGGAGACTCGGGGGGGCCGCGGGAGGGGCCCGGCCAGGGCGTCCCCTCAATGGGGCTGCGCCGCCCTGGGGGGCACAGAGAGAGGGGACACCCCCCAAAAACTCTCTGGGAGGGCCTCCAAAGACCTGTCCTTTGCCCCCCGCCACTCCCCAACAGCCCCGGGCCCCCCACGTACCCCTTTAAGCCCCCAAATCCCCCCAACCTCCCTCAGTTTATGCCTCAGCTTCCCAAGCGCCCCCTCCCCAGCTCCTCTGTGGCCACGAACCTTCCCCAGAAGCCCCCCCAGCCCCTTTAGACCCCTCCCAATCCCCCCTAGACCCCTCCAGACGCCCTCCATGGACCCTTTTACCTTCCACGGATCCGCCCCAGGACCCCCTGTACTCCCTTTAATGCCCCTTTTAATAATACCCTCTTTAAACCCCCCCCCAAACCCCTCCCAGCGCCCCCATTAACCCCTTCGCGCCCCCATCTTTACCTGCCGGCTCCTGGGGCTCCCCCATGGCGGGGGGGTCATAGCCCCCCTTTCCGGGAGGGGGGCCCCTCTCCAGTCCCAGCCCGGGGCGGCCACAATGGGGGCAATTTGGGGGCTCCAGAGGCGGCGCCGGGGGGCCCCCCCAGCCATGCCCGCCATAAATTTGGCGGGTGGGGAGCGGGGAGATGCCCCCCCAGCCTTGGCAGTCCTGGCAGGGGCAGAGGGGCGGGAGCCCCCCCAAAAGAAGGTACCCCCCCGTCACTGGACGCCCGTAGCCTCCCCACGGAGGGAACCCCTCGGAGAGCGAGCGCTGCACTCCCCGTTTTGGGGTGTCTCGGGGGGAAGCCAGGCTGGCTCGGCGGCACAGGGGAGGGCACGGGGGTGCCCAGGGGCTGGGGGGGGCCCAAGGGCTCGGGGGGCTGGGGGATACTGGGAGGCTGTGAGCTGCGGGGGGGCTGTGGGATATTGGTATCCCATGGGATGCTGGGGGGCTGTGGAGTGAGGGGGTCCCGTGGACTCCCGGGGGGCTCTGGGCTGCAGGGGGGCCACGGGACATCGGAGTCCCATGGGGGGCCTGGAGTCCCTCGGATATTGGGGTGATGTGGGAGATTGGGACCCCAGGGGATGCTGGGGTGCCGTGGGGTTTTGGGGGCCTGTAGGATGCCAGGGGGCTGTGGGGGTCTGGGGTCTCCTGGGTTGTGGGAGTCCCGTAGGGTGTTAGGGTCTCATGGATAATTGGGGTCCCGTGGGACATTAGGGGACTGTAAGACATTGGGGACTTCTGGGCTGGAGGGGGGCTCTGGGGAGTGTGGGAACCTTGGGGTGTTGGGGATCCATGAGATGGTGGGGTCCCATAGGATTTTGGGGTCCCATAGGGTGATGAGGACCCCTGGGATGTTGGGGTGCCATACGGAGTTGGGGTCTCCAGGGATGCTGGGGTCCCATAGGATGCTGGGGGGCTGTAGGGCACCAGTGACCCCTGGAATGTTAAGGTCCCCTGAGATATTGAGGTGCTATTGGGCACCAGGGTGTCCTGGGATATCGGGGTCCTGTGGAATGTCGGGGACCCCTGGGCTATCGAGGTCCCGTGGAATGTCGGGGACCCCTGGGATATTGGGGTCCTGTGGGATATTGGGGTCCCATAGGGCACTGTGACCCCATGGGATATTGGGATCCCGGGGGATACTGGGAGGCCATGGGGCGCCAGGGTCCCATAGGAAGTTGGGGAGCCCTGTGATGCTGGGGGGCCATGGGGTGTCAGGGTCTCATGGGACACGAGGGTCCTGTAGGGTTTTGAGGTGTCATAGGGTGTGGGGGACCCCTGGGATTTGGGGACTGCACAGGATGTGGGGAAGCCGTGGGGTGTTAGGGTCCCACAGGATGCTGGGGGGCTATGGGGAGCAGGGGTCCCATGGAATAGGGGGGTCCCGTGGGATAGGGGAGTCTTATGGGATATTGGGGTCCCATAGGACATCGGCATCCCATGGGATGGGGGGATCTCGTGGGATCCGGGGGTCTCATGGAATGGGGGGGTGTCATGGGATATCGGGGTGCTGTAGGATGTTGGATTCCCATAGGGTGCCGTGGTCCCAAGTGGTTCAGGGGTCCCATAGGCTGTGGGTGTCCCAAGCGGTTCAGGGGTGTCGCAGGGCTCCTCCCCCGGGCCGGGGGTCTCGCGGTCCCCCCGCACCCCGAACCCCCCCAGCAGCTGCTCCAGCTCCCGGCACTCAGCAGCCGTGGGGGGCGGGGGGCGTCCGTGGGGGGCTCCGGGTGGGGGCGGGGAGTCAGAGTCCCCTGCAGGGGGGGAGGGACCCCCCTTCTTCTGCACACGGGCATAGGGGCTGCCATCCAGGGGACCCCAGGTGTGGGAGGGCTCTGCGCAGGAAAAGGACGGTCAACCCCCCCTCCCTGCACCCCTAAAACCCCACGGGACCCCCGGAACACCCTGGGATCCCTTGTGTCCTCCCCTACCCTTTCAGACTGTGGGGACCCCTCCTGTATGCTCATATTGCCCCCCAAAGCCCCCTGTGCACCCCCAGTTCCCCACATTTTCTCCAGGCCTTCAGCTCTCCTGTTGAAGGGGGGACCTTCAACCCCTTGGCAGGCGGGGATCCCCCCCGGCCTCCCCCAAAGCCCCGAACACCCCCAGTCCCCTCGGCCCCTCAAACTCCCCCAGCCACCCACCCCTGACACTCCAGGTCACCCCAACACCCTCCAGCACCCTGAGACCCCCTGCACCCCCCAGACCCCCGGCCTCGCTGTCACTCCCCCCCATGCCCCACGGACGCCGCCGTACCCCAGTTTCTCCCCGACCCCCGCTTACCCTCAGGGCTGTCCCAGTGCCCCTCGTAGGAGTCGCGCCGCACTGCAGGGTCCTGCACCCCGTAATCGATTGGGGTGGCAGGGGGGCTGCGTGGGGGGAGCCAGCCTGGGGGAGCGGGGCAGGAGGGGTGGGCGGTGAGAGGGGCCCAGTGGGGTGTCCCCGGTGGTCTCTGCCCCCCAAAACCCACCTTCAACCCTCTCGGGGCCTGAGGAGAAGATGAACTCAACGGTGGCGTCGCGGGGGAAGCGCTGGTCTGGGGGTCAGCACGGGCGGTTTGTCGGGGCGCGGGGGTGTCCCCACAATCCGCATCCCCAGATCCCCCCGTACCCCTCAATCGCCCCACTCCCAGGCCTCATCTCTCCTGCACACCCCAACTTCCCCAGCTCTGCCCTCCTTCTTCTCTTCTGGGGGGGCACAGGGGAACTGAGCGCGTCCCCGTTACCTGTGCCCCCCAAATCCCCCCGCGTCCTGCCGCCGGGCACCCCCGAGCCCCCCAGCCTCCTGAGCACCCCCAAACTCTCCCTGTCTCCCGTGCCCCCCGAACCCCGGCAGTCCCGCAGGTCCCTCGCATCTCCCTGCCCTCGGCACCCCCACCTTGCCAGGCCAGGTCCAGCTCGTCCCGGCGCAGCCTCAGGCGGGGCCCGCGCAGGGTCCCCGTGTGGAACTGAACCCCAAAAACCGCCTCGCGTCCCCCTCGCCGCCGGTGGTAACAGCGCACCTGGGGGGGGGCACAGGTGAGCGAGGGGCTCGGACAGGTGACTCGGGGTCACACACAAAGGTCGGGGGGGTCCCCCCTCCCCACATCCCCCCCTTACCATGACGTCCCCCTTGAGCAGCAGCGCCGGTTCCAGGGTGACACAGAGCGACTGCGAGGCAGGGGGGCTGCTGGGGGAGAACGGGGGGGCATTTTGGGGGGTTAGGGCTTGGGGCGGTTGGTTTGGGGGGTGTCAAGATTAGGGGCAGCCTCTGAAACCTCAGCACCCATGGAGCACTGGGGGCAACTGGGGGGAGCCCCTGGATCCCTCAAAGGGGGGTCGGGGTGTGCAGGTCAGGTGTGGGGGGCTGTGAGCTCTGGGGGTGCCCTCAATGGGCACAGTGGGGGATGTGAGGTTTGGGGGGCTCCGGGACCCCCCGAGGTGCAGGGGAGGTCAGATTTGGGGGGGGGGGTCACTCACTAGACCCCCGAGGTGTAGACGAGCTGCAGCGATTGGTAGATCTTGAGGAAGGGGCGGCAACCTAGGGAGAGACACGGGGGTATTAATGGGGGGTCCTGGGGGCTGCCGGGGTCCCTCCCCCCACCTCAAACTGACCGTCGGGGGGGTCATAGCCGGGCAAGGGGGGCAACAGGACGTGGTGCAGAAACTGGGGGGAGCTGTTCAGGCGGAGCCGCCCCGAGAGCAGCTCCCCGAAATCCTCCGTGTACCTGGGGGGGGGGGCATGGCTGTAACCCCAAAACCACCCCAAAACTATGCCAAAAATCCCCTCAAAACGACCCCAAACACCAACTGAAACCACACCAAAACTCACCTCAAAACCACTCCAAAAGCACCCCTAAGAATCACCCCAAAATCATCCCAAAAATCACTCTAAACCACACCAGAAGTTACCCCTAGAACACTAAAACCCATCCCAAAAGCACCCAAAAATCACCCGAAGAAACACCCCAAAAATCACCCCAAAACACCCCCCCAATATCCCTCAAAACCACCCCAGAAACCATTCCCACAAAACACCCCAAATACCGCCATGACCCACCCTGACCCCATAGCCTCCCCCACCCCCCAGGACCACTGAAGCCGCCCCAGCGCCGCCCCCCAAACCCCCACCTGCGCTGGGAGGGCTGCAGGACCCCCCCCAGTTTCTCCTCGCAGAACCTCCTCATGCTCAGCGCGTTCAGCGCCTGCTCGGGGCTGGGGGGGCAAAAGGAGGGTGAGGTGCCCCCAAAACCCCCGGGACACCCCGGGGCCACAAAGACTCCCCCAAACCCCACACGATTTCTCCATAGCCCCAGTCCTCCCCATGGCCCCTTTAACCCTCCCAGGACACCCCTCATCCCCCCATCTCCCTGCACCCGACAACCCCCCTCTGGACCCCCACCCTGCCCCCCAACCCTCCATGATCTCCTATAAACCCCCACCAGCCCCCCTAATTATCCCCATAAGCCCTCCAAGCCCCCCGTTAGCCCCCCCCCCGAACCCCCAAAGCCCCCCGGCCCTCCTCACCTGCCCCACACGTCGCTGTAGTGCAGAAACGCTCCCACGACCACCCCGACCGGGGCCTTGCTGCCCTGGGTGGGGGTGGAACATGGGTGAGGACTCTCAGAACTCCCCAGTACCCACAGTACCCCCCAAAATCCCAGTGCTCCCCAGTAACCCCCAGTGCCCTCCCCAGTGTCCCTCCCTGCCCCCCAGTACCCCCAGTGCCTCCCAGTACCTCCCAGTACCACCCAATTGCCTCCTAGCTCCCTCCCCATTGTTGCCAGCCCCCCAATCCCACGAGAAGCCCCCTCAGAGCCCCGACCCTCCCCCAGCTCCCCACCTTGCAGAGCAGCACGGCCACGTTGCGGGGGTGCCCCCCCAGACACCCCTCGAGCGCTTTGCAGACGGAGCAGAGCAGCTCCAGCGGGGGGGCGAGCAGCTCCGGCCACCCAAAATCCAGCACCTGGGGGGGACCCTCAGAGCCGGCACCCCAAACACCGCGGGGGGACCCCAAACCCACCGGGACACCCCCAAAGCTCCTGGCATGCCTCGGAGACCCCCAACTCCACACCCCCCGGACATCCCCAGCACCCCTCAGACACTCCCAACCCCTCAGGGACCCCCCAGGAGCCTCCGAACCCCCCAAGGCTCCCGTGACCCCCAGGACCCCCCACCCATCCCCCACCCCCTTCCAACCCCGTGGGACCTGCCCCGGGACCCCCCAAACCGTGCAGGAACCCCCCCAGGAACCCCAAATCCCCTGGGGGTCCTCCCAGACCCCCCCTCACTTTGGGGTTCAGGCGTGTGAGGTCCCGGCGCTTTTCGGAGAGGTTGAAGATCTGCAGGGGCACAGGGGGGTCAGGGGGAACCCGGACCCACCAGGACCATCCCAGAAGTGCCCCAGAAGTGCCCCAGCACAGCCCTGGAACCCCCAAAATTCCTTCTGCCACCCCCAGATCCCTCGTGTCTTCTCCCCCCTCCCCAGGGCTCCCTGTGCACCCCGCACCCCCCTCGACCCCCCCATTGCTCCCAGCAGCTCCCCCAGTGCCCCTCAGACCCGCTCCAGTTGCCCCAGTTGCTGCCCCAGTTGCCCTGGTCGCTGTCCCAGTTGCCCCGGTTGCTGTCCCAGTTGCCCCAGTTGCCCGCTCGCTGTCCCAGTTGCCCCAGTTGCTGTCCCAGTTTCCCCAGTTGCCCCAGTTGCCCGCTCGCTGTCCCAGTTGCCCCAGTCACTGTCCCAGTCGCTGTCCCAGTTGCCCGCTCGCTGTCCCAGTTGCCCCAGTCACTGTCCCAGTCGCTGTCCCAGTTGCCTGCTCGCTGTCCCAGTTGCCCCAGTCGCTGTCCCAGTTGCCCCAGTCTCTGTCCCAGTCTCTGTCCCAGTTGCCCGCTCGCTGTCCCAGTTGCCCCAGTCACTGTCCCAGTTGCTTCCCAGTTGCCCCAGTCGCTGTCCCAGTTGCCCCAGTCACTGTCCCCGTCGCTGTCCCAGTTGCCCCAGTCACTGTCCCAGTTGCTTCCCAGTTGCCCGCTCGCTGTCCCAGTTGCCCCAGTCACTGTCCCAGTTGCCCCAGTCACTGTCCCAGTTGCTTCCCAGTTGCCCCAGTCGCTGTCCCAGTTGCCCCAGTCGCTGTCCCAGTCGCTGTCCCAGTTGCCCGCTCGCTGTCCCAGTTGCCCCAGTCACTGTCCCAGTTGCCCCAGTCACTGTCCCAGTTGCTTCCCAGTTGCCCGTCGCTGTCCCAGTTGCCCCAGTCACTGTCCCAGTCGCTGTCCCAGTTGCCCGCTC